CACCAGGTGCTATAACTTTTTTTTTTTTTTGCATGGGAGATCAAACTCAGGACCTTCCGCTTGTGAGGCAGGTGGCGACACCACTGAGCTAAATCCCCAGCCCTGGTGCTATAACTTTTAAAAACTATAAACACCAGATTTCTCAAGCACACTGTACCGGTAAAAACTACCCCCTAAGGTGTGTGAGCCAGGAGGGGCAGGGAAGTTCTCCTGTTAGACCTGTGTATGTTTTATGTGACTTATACATGGTATAGAAGTAGATTTCTCCCCCGCCCTCTCTCCATGTACCTGTGTGTTCCCCTTGCTCATGTTTATCTGGTGAACCCTAACCAATACCTAAAGCACAGCCAAGCAGTGTGAACTATGGCCGGGCCTGGTAGCACGCACCTGTCATCCCAGCACTCGGGAGGCTGAGGCAGGAGGATCACTGTGAGTTCAAGACCAGTGGGGTAGCGCGCACCTGTCATCCCAGCACTCGGGAGGCTGAGGCAGGAGGATCACTGTGAGTTCAAGACCAGCCTGGGCTACATAGTGAGTTCCTGGTCAGTCTCAGCTATATAGTGAGACCCTGTCTCAAAAAACAAAACAAAACAAAGCTTTGGGGAGTAACCAGTGCCTGTCTGGGTGAGATGGTGAGGTGGCCTGCACTTCTATTTAAGGAGTTTCTTTTTTTTCTTTTCTTTCATTTATTTATTTTATTTTTGGTACCGGGAATGGAACCCAGGAATTTGCCCTTGCCGGGCATTCGCTGTGCCACTGAGCTGAATCCCCGGCCCTGAAGGAGGTTTCTCCAGTCGGCCACACCCAGCTTGGATGTCCCTCTGCCCTGGGTCAGAGCTGGGTGTCGGAGAGCTGCCCTTTCCTATGAAGCCCCGAGGAGCCGGGGGTCAGCTCTGGCCTTGTGAACCCCTCACTGGGCAGCCTTGGGGACCTGGGCCAGGTCCCATCCACCCAGAGGCCACGGTCCTGGGCCTGCCCCTGGGGTGCATTTCCGGGAGCCTGGGCTGTGGACGCGCTGGTCGCCCGCCACCCAGTGGCCCACGTCCCACTTTTCCTCTGTCAGGGACCCAGGAGAGTGGACAGGACCATGAGTCTGGCGTTCACCCAGCCTCTCAGACACAGATTTCTGCAGACAACTCTTTGCCCAGAGTCCCTGGGGGAAGACGTTAAGATCTGCAGGCTTCTGGAACCAGGCACCGTGGTGCAAGCCTATGATCCCAGCACTCGGGAGGCTGAAGCAAGAGGGTTAGCATGAGTTTGAGGCTAGCCTGGGCCACATTCTTTTTTTTCTCTTCAATACTGGGGGTGCTGGTAGTGCCCAGGGCCTCATGCATACAGCCAAGAGCACTAACCACTAAGCTACATCTCTGGCCCTCCCCTTTTTTTGAGACGGGGTCTCACTCAGTTGCCCAAGCTGGTCTCGAATCTGAGATCTTCCTGACTCAGCCTCCGGAGTAGCTGAGATTACAGGTGTGCACCACACTCTTTTTTAAGCTTTGTAATCAGCTTTCACAAACTGTCGGAACCGTGGTGGCTGTCCTCAGGGGTCCCTGCTCGCCGTTGCTCTTCCTGTCACTGCCCTCCGGGAGCCCTGGAGCACGGCCCAGAGTGTTCACACTATAAGTTCAGAATTTTCCGGAGTCAGAAAAAGGCTTGGAAGAACGGCTCCATGCAGTGGTTGGTGGCGGCGGCGGGAATTTTTCAGGACCAGAGACAGCGCCCCAGGCCTCACCTGTTTCCCAGGGAGCTGGGGCTAAGGCTCCTTCCTCGGCTGGGCTGGGCTCAGGGACCAGCAGTGGGGAGACCGAGTCCACCAAGGGGCATCCGGAGGCCAGCCAGGGAGTGCCACCCTGCCGCTATCCGTAACCACTGGATGGTCGCAAAAAAGGACGATCTAGAAAAACTCCAGTCAGCCAGGCGTGGTGGTGCACACCTGTAATCCCAGCCCTTGGGAGGCTGAGGCAGGAGGATCGCAGCGAGTTGGAGGCCAACCTGGGCTATATGGTGAGTTCAAGGCCAGCGTGAACTATAAAACAAACGAGAAGAATCCTAGTGGAGTAGAGGTGCATCCATGTTTTGGGGGAAAGAAAGCCCCAAGGTGGGAGAGTTTCAGAAGCGGGCAGCCCAGGGCACCATCTGGCATGTATGGAGGTTGGGGCCGTGCCCACAGCTGGCACACCTGGAACTCAGCGGGCTCAGCTGGGTGGTGGAGGAGGCTCCTGAGGGGCAGCTGGCCCACAACACGTTCCTGACACATTCTCCACTGTAGGAACCACACAAACACACCGGGAGACACAGCCAGCATGTACAGGGCAGCGCTGGCTAGATTATTAACAGCACTGGAGCACCACGAGTGGAACAGAGAAACCAGTATAAAGGCCCAAAATGGAATATTATACAGCCACGAAAATGGATACACTTGTCAGGCGTGGTGATACACACCACCTGTGTTTCAGGAGGCTGCAGCAGGAGGATCCGGTCAAGTAATGAGGCTCAAAGTGTTAGATTTGTTTGTTTTTGCGGCACTGGGGGTTGAGTCGAGGCCTGAGCTACATTCCCAGCACTTTAAATTCTTTAAAACAATTATGAGATAGGTTTTCTCTAAGCTGCTAATTTGCTAGCTGGCTCTGAACTTGTGATCTTCCTGCCTCAGCCTTCCAGAGTACCGTAAATACAGGCACACACCACCATGCTAGGTTAACGCTTTAGGGTTTTTTTAATATTAGAGATCTGAAGCAAATGTAGCAAAATAGAACGTGTACATGTTAAATGTAGGTTAGTGTAAATTAGCTCATCTGTTCTCGGTGAGATTGTTTATAATTAAGTGAAAAAGTGAAGACAGCGTCCAGCCTAAAGCCATAGGGAGAGCTGGGCCAAGTGGCTGACGACACCTGAGGCTGAGGCAGGAGGATCGCAAGTAGGACCCAGCCTGAGCAACGTAGCAACTCAGAGCCTCTTTCAAAATTTTAAAACAGAGGGATAGGGTGCCGCCGTCTGCCTCGCAAGCGCAAGGTCCTGAGTTCAAGCCCCAGTACCAATAAATTATATAAATAAATGAGGGATGCTCGGTTCAATCCCCAGTACCAGAGGCGGGGAGACAGCTGGAGACCCTGCCTCTGGGACCCCCAGCGCGTTGTTTCCGAGATGCGCAGGAGGGGCGGAAAGCATCGGTTTCCGCAAAGCCTGCGTCCCCGGCTTGGAGGCGGACGCGCTCCCCGTCTCGGGCACCAGGTGGCGCCCGCGCGCGGTCAGGGAGGAGACTCCGAGCGAACGGACGAGCAGGGCCCGACCGGGAGGAGGCGCTGTTGTCCGGAGAAGCAGGGCCAGGCCTACCCGGGAGCTGGGACGTGACCAGGACTTACTTTGAATTTGGAAATGAGCAAAATGATGTTTCAGGACCGCCGCATGCGGGTCGGCATTAAAAATCCGTCTTCGCAGGAGCCTCCGCCTCCGGGAAGTGCTGGGCTCAGCTCGCTCCTGTGGGGATTTCATCTCCCAGCCTGAAGGTCACCCTTCCCAAGCAAATGCTGCGGAGAGGAAGTACGGGAACAGCCAGCCCCTCAGCAGTATTCACAGCAACGCAGAGGAAATTTGGGGCTGAACAGAGAGGGAAATGTCAAGGCCTCAAAAGTAAGACTGAGCCGGGTGTGGTAGCACACAACTGTAATCCCAGCATAGAGGAGGCTGAGGCAGGGGGATCGCTGTGAGTTCAGCTCCAGACTGGGCTACATAGTGAGACCGTATCTCAAAAAAGGGAAATAAGATTGGCCTCAGAATGAAATTCTCCTATGAATCAAATGATAATTTGTTTAAAGTGGAGAAATCACTCCCAGGCCAGTGCGTATGAACTCTGCCCTCAGAGTCACATCTGTTTGGAAAGCAAAGCATGAGAAACCCAAGTGGGAAGTCACTGCACTGTAGGGGGCAAGAGGGGAGAAAACACTGGGTGTGGGTGTGCCCATCCTCCCCGCACTTGGGAGGCCGAGGCAGGAGGATCCCTTTGAGTTTGAAGCAGCCTGGGCTATACAGTGAGACCGTCTCCAAAAACAAGCAAACAACAAACATGAGGGAACTCTGAGCCTGGGATGAAAGTGTCTACTTTCCCAGCCGTGTGCATACTATGGAGAGAACCCCCCAGCCCTGTCCCCCACGGGTGCAGGCGGTGACCCAGCAGGTGGCCACTCTCCAGACCTCTCTCTGCTTTCATCAATGTGCGGTTGACGTTCCATGGACCATTCTTCTTTTTCTTTTTTTTTTTTACAAAAATACCCAGATGATGCAATAGCTGTCCTTCTTTAAGAAATGAAATGTGTGTTTTGGCCACCTCGCGCAGCACTGCCTCGGGAGGAACCCCCTCACCCAACATTTTGTTTTTGTTTTTTTTGAGACAGGGCCTCAAAATGGAGTCCAGGCTGGCCCCGACCTCTCAGCGATCCTCCTGCCTCAGCCTCCCAAGTGCTGGGATGACAGGCGCACTACCACACCCAGCTCAGCTCGGGGTTCTCTGTCTCCCTCAGGCCCTGTTCCCTGTCCTCTGAGCGACAGTCCCAGGCTCCTCATTATCCCCCTCCCTACCCCGCTCCCTGCCCCCGCCCCTGCCCTGCCTGGGCCTCCC